GTGTGTGTGTGTGTGTGTATCCTGACCTTCTCTTGCCAGTGGAGGATCCCAATAATGACGAGGATGAAGACGCACACTCCGATCAGCGCGATGGCCGTCAGCAACACGCTATTGCTAGGAGTCAGGTACAACTTAGCGCTCCAACTAAAGAGAGAGAGGGAGAGAGAGAGAGAGAGAGAGAGAGAGACTGAAGACTTGCCATATGCTGTTTTACGTTTCATCATAGTTTTAACTGACAGAAAAACAATGTAATTAGCAAATGGTAGACATTAGCAGAGACCGTGTCCTAATTAAGTTAAAATAAACGCTTTCTCGTCCCTGCTGAACGGAATGAAGCACTGCTCTGTTTCTGGTTTCTAAGAACTTTTATGCATTTCCAGCAATCCAACCACTTACCATTTACCATCTCGCAGTCTGTTAGTTTAGATTGTATGTGAGAAGAATACCCAGGCACCTGTGTTTGTTTTTCTGGTTAGATCTCATATCGGCCATGGTGTGTATGTAGGTGTGTGTGTGTGTGTGTGTGTGTACTGGCATGTCTGGCAAGCCTGGTGAGAACACAAGTGTTATGTGGCTATGTGGAGGAGGGTGTATGTGTGTGTATGTTATATATAGCCATCTGTGGCTCCTCCTGGGGTTTGAGCTTCATGCGAACAACATCATGATAACATGAGAAGACATCCTGCAGCGTGGCTGGATACTATCTGTATTGAGCTGAGGTAACATTAACTTGAATATGTTGTTAAGTGGCATCAGATGAGGCTGTTAAAGCGTTGAATTGTATCCATGGCAACAAGCGTCAACGGGTCACCCAGCAAATGACACTGCTGTGAACAAGGAAAGCGAGCACTTACGATGAATCTATACTGTATTATATATTGTGTTCATGTACCTGCGGGGCTTATTGTGTGGGAAGGGGATGACGATGAGCTGAGAGTTGGGAATGATGGCCGTCCACTCCTGCTTCCTTATGTCCTGGAAAGATGCAGAAAACACATCAAGTATGTATGCACATATATGGTAATACATTGTGGCAACAATATATGCAAGATTTCCATATAGATACACACAGACACACACTCAGAATATGTATGTTACGCCCTCTGGGGCACAATAATGGGGTCCCATGCTTTTCCTTAGCTACTGTGGAGTGACTATTTTTAGCTGTGCATTTAAGACACAGACAACCTGCTACTTGAAATAAATGACTCTCGGCTGTGGGGAGCAACACACACTTGGGGCGGCTGTGGCTCAGGAGGTAGAGCGAGTTGTGCACTAATCAGAAGGTTGGTGGTTCGATCCCCTCATGTTAAAGGGTCCTTGAGCAAGATACTAAACCCCAAATGCTGTCTTTGGTGTGAATGTGGCATGTAGTGTACAAGCGCTTTGAGCGGTCGGAAGACTATTTCCTAGCCTCTGTGTGCATGTGTGTGTGTGTGTGTGTGTGTATCTGTATGTGTGAGTTCAGCCAATGCAGAACAAGTCATAATCTCAGTCTCTGTCTTGATGAAATATATGTGCTCCGCTCTCATCCTGTCACAGTGATTTCATGTGACCAGAGAATATAGTGAACAAAAAAAGGAACCATCACACAACATCACATCTGAAGGAACAGGTTATAAGAAGTGAAAGACGACTAGATCTAGTGGCTAGATCATATTGGGTAAGGCAAAGTGAAGAGAAATGTAAAATTCCAGATAAAAGAACAGGAAGCTCTTTAACACAAACTCATGCAACAAGGTTTTGTATTGAAAAAAGTATTGGTTTCTTGTCTTTCACTTGTCTTCTCCGTTTAGTCTGTAATGTTAATGTTATACCGTATTCAGTCAGTGATTTATTCATTCTAAAAAAACCTAACAAACCCTAACCCTGTAGAAAAAAACCTATATCTGTAGTCATGTCTCCACTTTTTGCAGAGAAGGCCTTGGTCTGGGGAATATTTTCAGCAGCACAGACGCTACTGAATGATCACAGAAATATTATAGGAATACTACAGGCAGTAGTGTGTCTCTATGATACTCATCTGTGAGTGAAGATCTTTTTGGTCACTTTGATCATGAAGGTGACACTACTCTAAAGGGTATATAGGCTACAATACAGCATATAACCTACATTATATCATTGTTACAAGATGAAACTGACAGAAGGGTGGGAGTGAGAGAAAAAGGTGCAATCACAAATCCATCTGCCACTTCAGCACCACGGACAGCGCCATGGAATTTATAAATACACAAAAACGCCTGGGCCAGTGTCAAGGGAAAAAACGAGTGATCAGATCATCATGATTAACAGAAAAAAGGTATTTCAGCAGACGTCGACCTCTAGCTTCATTTCAAAGAGATGGATGGGGGGGCAGGTTAACAAGGGGGTTGAATTTTGGTCATTTTGCTAACAAGAGGAATGGCATCCCTCCTCAAATTGCCTACTGACTGTATTATTGTCCTGCACTAATAAAAACCACAGTGATGACAGTGCAGAAGTGGATAATCATGGAGAAGCAGTTTTTATGGATATAGTTATTTTCCATGCTTTCACTTTAAAGGCCCTACACACCCAATGCTGACCCACGCAGGTGTTTTCACTTATGCTGCCTGAGACTGTATGGGCGTGCACAGACTGTGTTTGACTGACAGCCCCCTCGGTCTCCTGTTATGTTATGTTGCACCTGTTATGGTGGGACAATTATCACTGTACAGCACTTTAGATGAAAGCGCTGCATAAATGCAGTCCGTTAACCTTATGCAATTTTACTTCCTAGAGTTTGGTCACATCACGTAATTCCAAACGAGGCTCCAGCCAACTACCACCTGATTTGCCAGAGACACCTATGTGAGTGTGCGGGGGCCTTTAAATATAAGCGGAGCATGCAGCTGAGGTTAGTATAAAGAAGGTACAACACTTAAAAACAACATCAAAGGGGGGAAGGCTGGAAAGCTTTTAGCCCACCAAATTCGACAGTCCGCAGCTGTAAGCACTATTCCTGAAATCGAACTGCAGCTTTTGGGGCGGGGAAGTAAAAGACCACTAAACCCATCAATAAACAATACAATGGATGCAGCTTTAAAACAATTCTTATAATGACCCCTCTTATAGCGCTCGGAGCCACCAAAGGAATGACTCCGTTAGGATAAATTCACTACATTTCTGATCAGGGGGCCTGACCATTCCAACGATAACCCCAGAGAACAAAAGTTTTACATGAGTGTTAGGGCATAGGGGAGAGATCTACAGTCTCGGAAGCGTGACAATAAGTACAACCCGCAAGAGCAATTGAAATCAATATGCAGAAGCAGTAAGGGCTGGGGGGACCCTGATGGTGTTTCAATTGAGATATATAAGTGAATTTGCTATAAACTCAGCACCGAAATACTCTAGCCAGTGTATCAGGACATTTTTGAACAACATAATATTGCCACAAAACCATTGACTCAGTCATAATTCAGATGCTCCTCAAAACACAAAGACCCTTTACTATGCGCTCATACCGCCCAAAAAGCCTTTTATAAACTGTGACTTACAAAATTCTCACAAATAATATTAGCACCGTATAGACACTATAATTTCAACAGTCATCGATCCAGACCAAACGGGCTTTCAGACTGAGATACAGATATGAAATCCTGCAAAAATTCACTCTGCCTGGAGTCCCTTTATAAGAATTCGTAGAAGATTTCCCTTTCAATGATATACCTTAACACCAGTTGTATTGAATAGTTACAACTACTTATAACTTGCTCAAAATGTTAATTTCACCCAATTCCTGTTGACTTTTTCTGTATTGTTTTTTGTATTTTCTTTTTATTTATGTCCATGTCTATAAGTTGTATGTTTATTAATGAAAAACTGCAAAATAAAGTTATAAAAAAAAACAACAAAAAAAACAACATCAAGAATCAGCTGCTGGACCTGAGAGTTGAGTTGAACCCTTCACCCTCCCCTGCACTGGTCAACCCTGTCACATAAATAATGGTTTTCACGTCCTTTGGGTTGTATGTTGCTTTGTTTACATCACATCCCTCTTTCATCTGTCCACTTCAAGTTAAAAGTTGTCAGAGGATTTGGGCAGGTGGTCACTGTTACGACACAGAGTTAATCAGACAGTTTAAATACATTTCCTTGCAGCATTGTGTTTGACAGCGGTTTGACTTTGTAAGTTCAAGTTTCATTTTTAGCTTCTTTGCCGCTTAAGGCTCAGCATCTAATGCTGACATCTGACTGACACAGACTGTATTTAACCTCTCTGCATGCAGCAGTGCTTTGATTTCTGGAAAAGCCAGCATCATAATCAGTTTCTGTTGGCTTTCTTTTTCACCTTTTTGTGAGTCCAGTTTGGCCTTGTGCCCTGATTTAGCCTCTAGATGCTCAGGCATCAAGGTTGTGCTCAGGCTCACTGGGGGTTAAGAGATATATTAATGATTTAAAAGGTGTAATCATGCTTGTAGCTGTGAGGAACATTTTCAGTTCTACATTTGGCAGACTCCGGGAGTGCCATTGCTCTTTAACTGTGACTCTCTGTTTCTTCATCAATTGAGAGGAACCACATCTCCCAGCTATTTTGAATAAGCGTGCAACGACGGCATTGCTTTTTACATAACGAGCACATTCTCGCCGCCAGCCATTGTCGCTTAGCTCTTGGAAAGCGCTGCCGATGGGGCGGCAACTGGCGGGGGAGCAGAGCTGGAGACGAGTCAGCCTCCACTACTGCTGCCTGGGAGCAGATCCGATCTGGCTGTTTGGAAGAGAAAAGTGTTCCCAAGTCTTCAGAGAGAAAGAGAGACACTCTGGTTCAAAGCCAGGGAAACTGGCACACTATGAGAGAGCAAGGGAGAGGGTGAGGGAGACAGAGAGAGAGAGTGAGAGTGACAAGTAGGGGACTGATTAGTGAAGCAAACCACTTTGAGCAGCAAAGGGAATCCCCTGGGTGGAAGATAAGTGAACAGGAGGAGAGAGACTCAAAAGAAAAGATGGGGATGGGGTGAATAAAAGAGGGGAATGATTGGACAGAAGATGGAAGATATCCAAGTAGATTTTACAAAACCTCTCCTGTGAAACAGCAGGCAGAAACTCTCATTGTGAGGAGAAAATTGTAAAGGGCACAGCAGGGGAGACAGTGAGAAAATGGAAGCAGGACAAATATAAAGACTGAGAGAAAGGAAATAAAAATGAGAGAGAGAGATAAAGGGAGTTGACAAACAGAAAGATCCAAACCTGCCGACTGAGCAGGGTGGTGCAGCGGTCAGGATTTCTAAACCTCCTCCTCCTCCTCATTATAGGTAGATTTGATGGAGTTATTCCCTTTTGTAGTCCCTCTGGGTAAAAATAAAACTGACTGCATAATGGGCCGCATCTTTAGGCATTCATTAATTCACTTTGTAGAAGGAATGGGCGTAAAAAGATCACATTTCTTTGCATAGGAAAAGGAGTGTGCAGAAAGGGGACAACAAAGCAGCTTGTTTGAGATGAATGTTCTTGGTGCACTACAGCTTCTGAGTCGCGGACCAACCCATCTACAATTCAAATCAGTTGCCTGACGAAGATCTTGGTACCACACGGAGGGGAAAAAAAAGGGCCCTGTCGTGCCTAATATTCAGTGTGACAAGTGCAATGTGAGAGAGAGAGAAAACGGAGATGGAGATGAATGCGGAGATAGTGAGAGAGCTGAACTGAAGAGCCTTGACATTTGAAGTAGTGCAGTGTAGAAATGTGGCTGACGAATAGATTAAAAACATAAACCCGATCAATTATTTACAATATTAATATAACACTGGCTTGTAGTATGACAGGAGGCACACATGGGCTGTATAGTCATCCCTACTTCCTCTACTGTCTGGGGTTGTTGAACAAAGATGTGTTTGAAGCTCAAAGTAAAGACGTGGGGGGGTGGGGGGGATGTCATCAATCATCCATATAACATACAGTACATTATAAGCGGGATGTGAAATGTTTTTGCCATAAAGCAACTGTGTGTTAGATATTTTAACTCCCAACATCTCTTCTCTTTAATCACCAGATGGGCCAAAAAACTTTTCACCTCCATTTTACTGCTCAATCCTGCCTCAGTGTGCCATCAAATGTATCCTGCCAAAATTTGACTTTTTCTAGCGACGAGGGCTGCAAAATTCTTCAAAAGTAACTGCTATCAAAACATAGAAAAGACATAACTTATCCTAACCGAGCAGGATTTAGTTTATTAAAAGTCTTATTGTGAGAATTCAAGTAAATGAAACTAAAAATCCTGCAACAAAAAGAAATGACTACTTGCCTCTGTTTCAGAGAATTAACAGGATCCATAAATGCATAAGCAAACCCAAGAGTTTCAGCAGAAAATTGAAGATAATGAAGAACTGATTAGCACTGTGTAGGTCTTAATTGTTTTTTTGTGTTTAGCTAATACATCTTGATCAATCATTAGTGAAAACAATAAATAACCTAAAACATTTACTACATTTTGAAGACATATTATCACATACACTGATCAGCCATAACATTATGAGCACCTGGGCTCCCTGGTGGTCAGAATGTTTTGCAGCCCCATACCAACAGACTGTGATGCACTGTGTGTTCTGACAGCTTTCTATCAGAACCAGCATGAACTGTTTCATGACTGCACTTGGTTACTCGACAGCTTCTATCAGAACCAACACTTAACTGTTTCAGCAGTTTGAGCTACAGTACGCTCGTCTGTTGGATCCCAGACCACACGGGCCAGCCTTCACTCCCCACCTTGCACCCAATGGACCCACAAAAGCCCCCATGTCTCCAGGTTCACCGCTTTCCTTCCTTGGACCCCCTTTTGAAAGGTACTGACCCAACATGCAGACCGGAAAAAAAAAACCACCCACAAGAGCTGCAGGTTTGGGATGACTGACCCAGTGGTAATTTTTCTCTGCTTCTAACTCATCAGCTTGAAGACAAAAATGTTCCACTTGCTGCCTGATATATCCCACACCACTGACAGGCTGCCATGATAACCAGTATAACCAGTGTTATTCACTCACCAGTCAGTGCCATAATGTTTAATGGCTGATCGGTGTATTTTGTTGCAGTAACTGCTGCTTGAATAAGAAAAAACAACCTCAACCAACTATTAAAAGGTTTTAGCAAGATCAGGGACACACTGCTGTCTCTGTTTAGCATTTCTAGTTTGATAAGAACATACGCGGAGGGAAATACATCTTCTGAATCTTCACAAAATACCTTTCAAACAATTCCTCACAAGAAATGCGTTGCATTCAGCCCATGAAATAAAGCCAGAGTAGTAGGAGAAAAACAACTATTTTTGATATTTTTCTTGGAAAGTTTTCTGGTTCTTAACGTTGTGATCCAGAGGCTATTTCTGTTCTTCTCTCACTCACTTTTTTTCCTAGACTTACTGCATAGACATTAAATGTCTCAAGTCACACATGCCACACACTGTTACGTTCAAGTGTTATGCATGTTCTAAGATCCAGATTGTTAAAGTTTTTTTTTTATATCTTTGGTTGTTCAGCACACAGATGTCCTTCCTTCTGTCCGCTGTAGCTCTCCAACATGCCTCTATACATGTATCTCCCTCAAACATTCTGTGAGACCATACAGACTGTGGCCATTTCTACAGGAGTGTTGTGTAGTGTCCAGCTAATATAACCCTCTCATATTTCCCTACCGTCTCTCCAGGCTTCCGGGGGATGCCGACGAATAGGTGGTCAAGGAAGTTGGCACTGCGTCCGAGGCCCAGCACAGTGTAGGGCAGCTGGAGGGAGAAGTGAGCCGACTGACTCAACTGACCGGCTGCAGGAAGGGAGGGAGAGAAAAGATCATTTTCAATGTCATAAAAAAGGATGTTTTTTTCTCAACACACAACACCAGGATAACTAATGAGCCTTATCTCAAAGGGTATTTTCGCCCCAATGTTTTGTTTTCAAGACACATTTTTTCCTTTGATGAAATACCTCAACATTTAAAATGGATTGGCACAATATGTTGTACATTCATGGTCCCCAGATGATGTATCCCAATGACTAATCCGTTCCTTGACTTTTTTTGAGATTTGTGGTTTTTAGTTAAATGCTTTGACAAGTAACGGATGGACTGCCATGAAATTTGGTTCATACATTCATGTTCCACTCACACACAAATGTACTAACTTTTCATCATCCATGTTAGCATGCAAGTGTTACAATTTAACTCGAAGCACCACTGTGCCTAAGTACAGCCTCACAGAGCCTGGCTGAAGACAATTAGTCTTGTTTCAGAACAATTATAAAATACATTTGTTTTTGTATTGCACTTTGGCACACAAAGGATTATTTTAATGTCTTTGAAGACACTTTGGTTTGTGTGAGGTCAGAATTTTTATCTACTTCTGGCTGACTGGGTTTTTTGCTCTCCTTGTTTGTCGCTGTCAACACACTGAGAAAGCCAGCCCTGCCATAGCCTCCTGTTAATCACTGGTGGTCCACAGGTACACAAATTAAATTTAAAAAAGGAACAACACAAAAATGGTACTTAATTATTCTGAATTTATACTTCTCTTGGGTACGACATAATGGGCATTATATAAATGTTATCCTTCAGCCCTGAATGTATATGACCCTAGTCACTCTCTCATATCGCCTTTCCACCAGATACCCTTGGACGAACCGATTCCCACTTATTATCAGTCCTGCAGTTACCTGGCCTACCATGCCCACTCCTCACCTGCAACTCATTCCAGCCACTTGCCACATATACCAGTGTACTTCCTTTGTTCTTTGCCAGATTGCCATGCAAGTTACCAGTGCTCTTGTTCTTGCATTTTCTGACCTGAATTCTTAGACTAGTTTCTGCCTGCCTGCCATGCCGTTTGACTTCTTGCTTATGGTTTATTGGACTTGGGATTCTTGCCTGGCCCGTTTTTTGGATTTATTTTTTTATGTTGAACTGCTTTCTGGTTTAAGCCCTTGCCTCTCTCACTGTCCCATAAGCCGTTGTACCTCCATTTTGTGTCATTAAATCATTGAACTGCATCAAGTCGGGATTAGACTTTCTGCTTTTCCGCGTACCTCCAATTTGTTGTGACTGCCCAGGCTACCACACTACAACAAGCTACATATTGCGTCTGAGCATGTGTGGAACGCATCCTGCAAGAGGACTCCAGAAAGTAGGTGGCTTCTGCATTTGGGTCCTTCTCTTCCTACACTGATTGCACATTAGTTGTGAACTTATTTGCTTTAGTAATCTATGATACTGTAGCTGCAACGGCCCTACTTTCCCAAAGGAATCATTTAAGTTTTACGTAATGTAATGTAATCAACTCTAAACTGACCTATCCTGACCGTCTGTCAGTAATGACTCCATGGAACATGCTGTTGGCGGATATCAGCAAATAACTTTTTTTTTTCAAACTCTACAGCTCCTGTATTTGTTTCAAATTAAAAGCCCTGTAGCATTTCTATAGACAGAATCCATTCATTTGTTAACCAGGCTTTGATTGTATTGTATTTATCAAAGGCAAACTCAGTGTAGAAGGATAGTGTTGGCAGCAGCGCAGTCTGTCTGGACACCACGTGTGCGAGCCACAGCAGTTCAGTGAGGTAGCCATCACACACAGGTAGGTTAGGCTGTGTGTCCTGGGAATAAGACTAAAATGTACAAGTAAACATAATGAGGAGGATGAGGAAGAAACACAGGAGCGATCGAGCCAGAGGGACTGCAGCATGAGACCTTGTGTTCTGACATGAAGAAGCATCATAAAAGATACAAATCAGAGTGAGACACCGGAGGCCACTCCAACACCTCTCTCTGTCTCTTCGCACAGCCTCCCTCCTCCTCCTCCATCTCCATCCTCAAATCTCTCCCTCCTTACTTACTATTCTCATCCAACCCTTAGTCTCTTGTGTCCTCTTCTATGCTCATTTCTCTCTCCTCTTCCGTGATACATCACTCTGATTTGGCCTTACTCATTTTTGCGTCCCCTTCTTTTCCTCCCTCCTGCTCGTCTCCTCTCTCTCTCCCCTTCAGCTGCTGTATCTCGCCCACGCCACCCAACTCTGCCAAATGCAGCCGACATAAATCAACCTCTACGTGGTAAACAAAGAGAGGGAAGGAGAGAGAGAGAGGGATGGAAGAGAGAGAAGCCTCGAGGCAGCCAGTGATCAGAACTAATGTGGATGGACTGCGTATTGCAGGCGGAGAGGAGCACAACAGCTTTGCTTCTCTCTTTATTTTTTTAAATCCATGCCTAACCTGAGTTCAGTAAAAAAAAATTTGTCCAGTTCATTTTCGGTCACCTCAGCCAAACCTGGGTCAGGCCAGTCCAGCTCACCGCAGCTCAATCGCTCTCTTTTTTTTAATGCTCTTTCATACTGCACACCTAAAGCTGGCAGATTACCTTGGGAAAATCACATGTAGGGGTAAAAATTAATCAGCAAGTGGGTGAAGGTGAGAAATGAACTGAAGTAAAACCAGTGGTGGCTATTTTATGTAATAAAAGCCCGTCCATGGTGTGTAACGTACGTGCTTTGGCTCCAGTCGGTCTGAATGCTGAATGGACCCATCGACTTTTGCCACCTTCTACCAGAGAAACCTTTTCATCTGTCGTCTCTTCATCTCTCTCTTTCCCTCGCTATCACTCTACGTATTCTATCTAGCTTTTTAGCGCTGGGTTGGGGTGTTGTGAAGAGGCAGTATAATTGCCTCTAATCGCCCACCGCATGTAGCAAAAGTGGGAGAGAGGCAGAAATACTGGCCGTTTCCAGGAAAAGCAGGGCAGCGTTTCATGGACATTGACTTGTTCAGGGTAGTACAAAGCCAACAGGCATCGAAGATGAATCCTGGTGTGTCTGACATTTACTGAGAGGTGCAGGTGTGTGTGAGTGTGTCTGTGTGTGTGCGAGAGTAGAACAAATGTACCAGATTGGTAAAGTGGAAAGCTGTGTTCTGCTGTGTAAGATTTTCTTCATGATTTTAACGATAATCTAGTAAATTCACTGAAACAGGAGGAAGATGAAATGACATGTAATTGACAATTACCGTCGCTCTTTATCCATGCTAACAGCACGGCTCTAGAGATGGTAGAGTCGGTAAGTCTGTCTACCACTTTGGTCCAGACTGACTTATCTCAGGAACTAATGGATGGACTGCAGCAAAATTGACTTTTGCGGTAGTATTAACATAAGGTTTAAATTGGTAGTTGTTTAGGAAATATTTTTTCTCCAACCCAACTACTGGAACGGATTGCTATGACATTTGGTAACCAGCATTCATGTGCCCCCAGAGACAAACACATAATAAAATAGTGTTGTGTGAGTTGTGTTTTCATCCTAATAGAGACACAGAGTAAATTCTATTCTGTGATAGCTCTCATGAAAACACAAGGACATAAACATAACATATAGAGAAACACATCAATATAGTACTACAAATATTGCAACTAACACTAAAAGTACAGTGCCTTAATAGAACAATAAGAAGTTGATGTAACTAAAACAGCAACAATAGACACACAGAGAACACACAAAGCTTGTTAAATTGCAGATACAATAAGTCATATACAACATTGCACACGTATGACATAAAAGTGTGTGTATTCTATTATACTGTACACACACATCCCTCTGCTGGGAATCTGCAGGAGATGATAAAAGTCATATCCTGGCCATCGTCATGCATAGTCTGACAGAATAAATTAATTACTGAGGAACAAAACCACACAGGGAGTTGTCATACCTCCACATAACTGAACCTAGGTGAAAACTGTGGAGGTCAAAACATTTTATGATGCTCTTATCAAGTCACGCTTTTTTTTTTTTAAATAAAGGCTTGTATCACTAGTTGGCCTTAAAGGACTTTACATAGAACAAGCCTATATAAATCCTACTCATCATCAATCCCAAATCGAAAAATTAAATAAGGTAAATAATAAATTAGGCAAATGCATAGAAACCATGATGGAACACAATGTAAAAAACAATAGGTACTGGGGGCGCAACAAACAAATGGACAGTGACCCCAAAACAAAAAGACAAGAAGAAACATGATGCAGCGATAAACTTGTTGAAACTGGCTGATGTCCAGAGAAATTAGGGCAACAAAAACAGGCATTATATCCCGGTGTAAAACAAAAATAAAACAACCAAAACATAAGCCTTCCTGGCAGTCCTGCTTTCTGTACACTCGTAGAGAGTTTCCAAATGTTGGGTGGGGTTGTGAGGGTGACAGCTACTGGATTTGACGAACTGAACCTACTGGCCAACAACCAGGAGCAGCCAGATGAGAGCTTTAAGTTTTGCTGCTTGTGCTGACCAACCCTGCAACAACCCCTGTCACCTACAAATACCCCCAATCCCATTTACCTACTCCAGTTTGTATTCTGTCACCATCAAGTGGCATTGCTGATAAAGCCATTTCTTGTTCTTGATATCCACTAATCAAAAACCAGACTAACAGGGCACTGGCTGTCTCGCAGAAGAAATAGCGGGAGTGTTACTTTGAGATGGATCCAGCAGGGAAAGCCATTTTAAATCAGTCCACTTGCCTCAGTTCTTCAAACTGAACCCCGGCCAATGGCCCTGGACAGAACAGGATTTTTGAGGGGATTGGACCTTTAAGCCAGTCTTGGTTAGATGTTTTTGACAGACTGCTGCTCTCTGTCAGTAGACAAGAGGTGGATGGCTTGCACTCGGCCACTCAGTAGGGTGGAGTGGGTCTGAGTGTGTGTGTGTCTGTGTGTCTGATGGAGGATCAAGCAGGGTTACGTTGCAGGCAGGGAGCCTGGCTTAGCGTCTGCTGAGTGCTGTGTGTGTGAGTTT